CAATGGTTCTCTCTCATCATTGGTGCTTCTATCTCTTTCTACCTCTCCCTTCCTCTCTGAAATCAATAAAAATACATTTTAAAAAAGTAACGGTTCCATGGGTGGCCCCATCCCCCAAGCGGTGTCCCAGAGGCAGTCACTCTCACCTGTTCCTTATATACCCATTCGGAAGTGGCTAATGAACAGTCAGTGGCCCGTAGTAGACAGTCACTATCAACTGAGGCGCCGTGAAAACCAGCCCCAGCTCTGCACTTCCCGGGGCCGCGGCAGCTCCATGCAGAAGGGCTGGCTCAGCACAGCCAAGCTGCCATTTTGATTGTTGTCGTTGGCTCAGACCACACAGGGGTGAGTTTGCAAAGACACCACACTCAGTGGAATTGGGCAGTTGGTACCACCTTCTTTGGCTCTGGTTTTGTGCCCTCACAGGGAGATTCGTTGTCATTGAGATTTCCCAGGTTGGCTGTCGTCTCTCCCTCAAAGCCAGCCAGGGGAACACAGCCAAAAGCTACATCAGGAAGAAAGGCCGGTGGGAGAAGGGTTGGAGGAAGCCAGCCCCCGAGCTGCGATTACAGCAATGCAAGGGATTACGGGGAGTTTCAGGGGGAGCTTTACCCCCCACCCACCCCACTCCTGGGCTCACCTGAAAGGCGGCCCTCTCCCTCCACCTTTCCCGTGGGAATTCGGCGCAGCCAGCAGAACCCCTGAACTCTGCTGGGCCACTGCCAGCAACTTTCAAGCCGTTCCCCCTGCCGACTACCGTGACATGAAGTCGTTTTTTATTGAGGCAAGATTAGATTTTTTTTTTTAAGTTTTCAAAAGTGTGGTTCACATGATCTCTGGTACTTTTCCTATTGCTTGAAGACCACAGAGCTGCCAATTTCAATTTGCTTCAGCTTTTATCACTAGAAGAAGCTTAAAAGAAAAAGAAAGGGGGAGAAAGGCTGGATGAAAATATTCCCCTGGGCCTTGGCAGTTAGTATGAGGGTGGCAGGGGACACACGCATCGCTCACTCCCTTTTGTGTAACGGGTGTAACAGGAAGATGTCAGGAGATTGAAGCTGGGACTGGCGGCTGGACAGCATACAATGTCCTCTAGGACGAAGGGTTTTTATGCCATAGCCAGAAAGGGAACGTGCAGCGTGGAGTCAGTCACAGCAGCCAGGACAGTATTAAAGAGAATGCTGATCTATATGGAAATAGGTAAAATAAACTCACCAAAGCTGTTCTTCCTCTTCATTCTAATTTCATTAATTCTTCTCTTTGGAGGCAAGATTTCCCATTCATTCATTCATTCATTCATTCAACATATTTACTAAGCACATATTTGCTATGTTGCTGGAAATGCAGGATGAATAAGGCGAAGCCCTATTTTTTAAGAAAAACCACAGAATACCTATTTGCAGGGATCATGGTTTTTCAGATGCCAACTCAGCCCTCAAAATGGGTGGTGTGATGGAAAGTTAGGATAAACGTAAGATCGAATCCTATTGTTTTGGCATAAAACCA